AAAAAATGGAGAAGGATGTTGATGTCCCCTACAAAAAGGGAAGGGTCCAAAAACATTAGTTTGCCGCTCACAGCAATGGCATATTGGCTAATAACTTAACAACGTTTCAGACATTTCCATATATAACCCAGATGTTTTCTATGTGGTTCCCATTACAAGCATCCACGTTACCCTAAGTTTACTCATTTCTCCACCAGCAGCTTGGGCCCATGAAATGGTGGAATTGTTTTGGTGAGACACCCCTTCATGTTGTTAACATTTGCAAATACCTTCCCCACAAAAAGCTAGAACCCATGAAGCCCTGGAATTGTTTGTTTCAAACACCCCTACATTTTGTAACAAGAGTAGCCACGTGCCATGTACAGTGACCCTTACCATTTCATGGATTTCAATGGTCCTTAATAGTGGAACATATTCATATTCATTCTAGGGTTTCCTGGTGTACTTTGGACATACCTTACAAAAAGGGTTTGCGTCAAGCTTTTCAAAACAAATTTCATACACTTTTTAAATATAGCAAAGATATCTCTTACAAAAAGGGGTGCCTACCAAAGAATGGAGAAGGATGTTGATGTCCCCAACAAAAAGGGAAGGATCCAAAAACATGAGTTTGCCACTCACAGCGATGGCATATTGGCTAATATTTTAACAACGTTTTAGACATTTCCATGTATAACCCAGATGTTTTCTATGTGGTGCCCATTACAAGCATCCACGTTACCCTAAGTTTACTAATATCTCCACCAGCATACTTTGTCCTACAGATAGGGGATCTGAACGGACATGGATCGGCTGGCAGAACGCTGAAAAAGGCCCAGCAGCATCCAGCAGCTATGTCCTTACAAAATGGGTCTTGTTTTTTTGTTTGTTGGACATCTTGAGGCCAGAGAGATCCACATTGAACAGTGAATTCCATATAAACGGTCGGGGCATGACCCCTGGATAATGTCTAAATGTAGCTCTCTACAGCTTGAGAGGGCATCTACCCGGGCCATTGGTGCTTACATGACCTGTCATTTTGTAAAACCTACATTTTGACCCACCTACTCATTTTGTAAGGGGGGGTATGCCCCCCAGGTTTATACCTACAAAATGGGGGCCTTGACCCCTTAGGGGTAATTGTGAAGGGGATCTCAAAGGCCGTTCTTTGGTACAAAAGCGCAACCATTTGAGCATGCAATGCGCAACTGGTGAGATACGTGAGCGGCCTAGTTATGTTTTCCCATTCTGATTGTCCCCCATTCTAACTTCAGCCACAGTCAACAGTCAGAAATAGTTTGGTATTCGCATTGCCTTAGCATGCTTTTTGTTCAGGATCGGTGGAGGAGGCCATTGCAGCGGTCTCTTCACCGTCTACACACGGGGCAATCAAACTTACTGAGGGGAAGAGTGGCCGCTTCTCATCCGCTGGCACATTCATTGCTGGCGATGAGTCCATCTCAAAGACCTTTGACTCATTGGTCGCTTGCGTTGCCTGGGTTGGAAAAATGCAGGCAGCCTTGAAGAGCGGGACAGCTCCAGAAGGGACTGAACATGATGCAAAAGAAGACCCACGTCACACCGGAAGCTGAGCTCTGGATAGTATGTTTTTGCCTATTCTGAGGTCATTCTATCATTTTGTGTGATAAAGGCTCTGAGTATGCATATATAGATATTGTATAAGGAAGTATGAAGACCCATGTGCCTGTCCAGTGCGCTCTAGGCTTCTGTTTCCATTGCCCGTGACATTCAGATGCTTGGCGCCGACTCCATTGATGATTTGGCCAGTGGCGAAGTACCTCAAGGTCTGGAGAAGGCAGAAGACGTGACAAGCTCCCTATTGATTCCTCGACAAGAGAGAGCTGCAGGTCCACATCTGGATACAGCCAAGGTAGCCCTGCCAAGGGCAGGTGTGGCGAGCTTTCAATGCTGGATGGCACGCTGTCCGAACATGGTAGCCGTGCTTTTGGGGAGCCACCAGAAGCGGACAGGGCGCATGTCCTGCGCATCCATTGTTGCAGGCCGAGATTGGAAACATCTCCTGGAAGATCCCAGGGTTGCCAGGGCTTGTGATGAAGAGGAGGCCTTGCTATG